TTGTTGATGTGCGTGAGATGCTGATGACTCGTTGTATGAGGTGGAATTCTCGAAGATGTTTATCGTTGAGGCTGTAAAGTAGCGTAATGCGGCTGTTCTGCCCATTCCATACGTCACAACAGGATAAATAATATTTGGACCGTGTAGACCATATCTCTTAACATTCTGGATATATACATCCCACCGTAAACCCCAGTGATATCAAACCAGTCCCTCAAAACTCCGAACTCTCCCGCCAGACCCTGAAATCATCTATAGCTCTTTAACAAGCTTCTTAACTAACTTCTTTTGCTCATCCATGCTTAACCCCTTGGCATCCGTATCCTGAATAGCCTTTCCTACTGCCAATGTCGTCTTTGGGTTCTTGCTGTTAACCCAGACCTTTCCATTTCTGCCAACCGCAATTTCAAATGCCACCCCAGCGTCTCCCAACTCCTCCAGCACAACAAGCTTTCCTTGCTCTGTAGGTTTCGGCATCATCAATCGCCTAGCCATGACGAGGGATACGGTGAAGAGCATGCCTCCGGTCAGGAGCCCGAGACCGTCCGATTTCCCTGTTGACGAGGACACACATTCTAGCTCTGGGTCCATGTGCTTGTTTGCCAATGACACACGCGCGTAGATCAGAGAGCCCTGGACGAGCACCGGTCTGTTCTTCTTGGTTGCGCCCTCGAAAGACAGTTGTGGTAGGGAGGCATAAGAGGTGTAGTCTGTGATGCTGGCATAGTAAACGTCGACGGATGAATGGTGGACTGTGGCGATCACAAGGTCTCCAACTGTTGGAATGTACTGCAACTGTTAGCTATGTGCCATTAGAAGACAATGAACAACTTACTCGGCCGCCATTAAACTCTACCCATATGGAATTCTTTCTAGTGTCTGTGCATAGCTGCCCCGCGACAACTGGAGTGATGGTATTCGGTGGGATGTGCCTTAGACCTGGGCCAAGCTTGATAGGTAGTGTAGGATGCGAAGGAAGTAATTCCGAATCAATGTGATCGCCGGGTAATACGAAAGTCATGGCTGCCATTTGGAGGCCAGGAAGGTGGTGAATTTATTTATATGGACGGCTTGACTTCTGTACCGGGCCATTTTCAACCTTCAGCCTTGTCGTTTGGGCTGTGGTAAAATCCGCGCTAAGGAAATAATTTCACGAGGATCAGACCAAGAAGACAACCACCCCCACTCCCATCCAAGGCCCAGAATTCTTACTCTCCCTTAGAAAAGTGATCCCTTCTCATCTCCCACAAGAATCACATATTTCTACACAATGGCCGCTCAAGAGAACGCCCAAGGCGCACAGCCCGAAAGACATGCCATTGGTATCTCCTTTGGTAACTCGAACAGCTCGATCGCATACACCACGATTGAGGACAAGGCAGAGGTTATTGCCAACGAGGATGGAGGTAGGTAGTGTTTAGGTTATTGATATTTCTGATACTAATTTGCTATAATAGATCGTCAAATTCCCTCCATCATCTCCTACATCGACGGAGAGGAGTATGTTGGTAACCAGGCCAAGTCGCAACTCATCCGCAACAAGGACAACACCGTCGCATATTTCAGAGATTTCGTGGGCCAAGAGTAAGTGATATGGCATGGGGATTGAAAGAGTGTATACTAACCCCTTGCCCAGCTTCAAGTCGATAGACCCAACCCACTCCCACGCATCTGCTCACCCAAAGGCCCACGAGAATACCGTCGCTTTCACCATCAAGGACAAGTCGGAGGGCGAGCCATCCACCGTGACCGTCTCCGAGATCACTAGCCGCCTCATTAAGCGCCTCGTCGACTCGGCCACCGACTTCACCGGAAAGAAGGTTGACTCTGCCGTCATCACCATCCCCACCAACTTCACCGAGGCCCAGAAGCAGGCTCTTACCGCCGCCGCCAAAGATGCCGGACTCGAGGTTCTCCAGCTGATCAACGAGCCCATTGCCGCCATCTTAGCATATGACGGCCGCCCAGAGGCCAAGGTCACCGACAAGATCGTTGTTGTTGCCGACTTTGGTGGAACCCGCTCAGACGTCACCGTCGTCGCCTCCAGAGGCGGCATGTACACCATCCTGGCCACGTCGCACGACTACGAGTTCGCCGGATGCCACCTGGACCAAGTCCTCATGGACCACTTCGCCAAGGAGTTCATCAAGTGGAACACCACCGACCCCCGCGCCGAGGCCCGCTCCCTCGCCAAGCTCAAGCTCGAGTCCGAGGCGGCCAAGAAGGCCCTCTCCATCGGTACCAACTCCAGCTTCAGCGTCGAGTCCCTTGCCGAGGGTATCGACTTCTCCTCCACCATCAACCGCCTGCGCTACGAGACCATCGGCCGCAAGGTCTTTGAGGGCTTCAACCGCCTCATCACCTCCACCATCGAGAAGGCCGACCTCGATGTCCTCGACATCGACCAGGTCATCATGTGCGGTGGCACCTCGCACACCCCCCGCATCGCCGCCAACTTCCGCAACATCTTCCCCGCCACCACCGAGATCCTCGCCCCCTCCACCACCCCCACCGCCATCAACCCATCGGAGCTTGCTGCCCGCGGTGCCGCCCTCCAGGCCAGCCTCATCCAGGAGTACGACGCTGCCGATATCGAGCAGTCGACCCACGCGGCTGTCACCACCGTCAAGCACCTTGCGCACGCCCTGGGTGTTCTCGCCATCTCCGACGACTCCGCCCGCGGTGTCTTCACCCCCGTCGTCCCTGCTGAGACTGCTGCGCCGGCTCGCCGCACCATCCACATCGCTGCGCCAAAGGCTGGTGGTGATGTCCTGATCAAGGTTGTTGAGGGTGGCTCGCACATCAAGGTCACTCAGCCAGAGCCGAAGGCAAAGTCAAACGGCGCCAAGGTTGCTGATGCGCACGAGGATGGATCCGAGGATGATGAGTCGTCTGAGGAGGAGGAGGAGGAGACCCGCGAGAAGGTGTGGAAGGTTGGCGGTGTGCTTGCCGAGATCGCCGTTAAGGGCGTTAAGGCCGGCGGTTCGGTCGAGGTCACCATTAATGTTGCGGGTGATCTTTCGACGACGATTACGGCGAGGGAGGTTGGTGGTAAGGGAGGTGTCAGGGGTAACTTGGAGGCACCCCAGTAGGGGGCCTACAGGAGGTGTGATATTTGTATAGGGGTGTAGATGATAGACGGATTGGAGCTTAGACGTGATGAATTTACGGTCAGGGTCGATAGTTTTGCACAGTCTGGACTGCATAGTTAGAGAATAAAATTGGAGATTTTACTGTTAGAAGATGTATGGACTGGAGGTAACTGGCACGACTCAAATTGAAGTACAGACCCCATTCATGGAATTTTTGTACGCAATAGCTGCGCAAAGGTAGCCCAAAATACGCGGAAAGTTGACGGCAAAATCCTCTCTACATGCACCATTCATAACCCGCCTTGCCTCCTTTGAGTGGCCTCTTTGACGTACGAAGAGATCTTGGTGGACTCCTTGATCACCTGTCATGGAATCGAGGCCGTGGATTTTTAGGGGACTCTCAAGCAGAAGCTCGAGAGGCCGAGAAGCTTGGTGAGAATGAGATCAACAACGGGCCATTTGTCGACCATCCCTTCAATTATTTTCATTTAGGAGGCGAATTTCCCGCCGACTTCGGGACTGCGCGTACGGAAAAATCACTGTTGTTCTGGCATTTAGAGGAGGGAGGCATGGGGTGGAACTGGGTGGAACTGGGAATTGCGCTGGGATTGATCTGGGATTGATCTGGGATCGGTCTAGTAGTTGCGCTGACACACAAAATAGCTTGGGTGGTAGCTCGGAAGATAGACCTGGGATGGTTTTGGAAATAGCTTAAAGATTGCTTGGGAAATAGCTAAAAGATTGCTCGGGAAGTGGCTCAGGAGATAGAAATTACAAGCAATATATCACAAATGGTAATGTAAACCAAGCAACCATGAAAACAACCCCAGACAGCCCCAAGATACTCGAGGTTATACATTATGAAACAGAACACATAGATAGCAGATGAGCAGAGAAGTATGAAAAGGGAAGAGGAGTATGCACGAGTGAGAAAAGGTGGATGTTATCATAGATGGGAGTGTGGGGTAGAGGCGTAAGAGTAGATGACAAGTGTGTAAGGTAGATGCATGGGACAGATGAGAGAGATGTGTAAGAGTAGATGAGGATTTCGAGTGTAAGTGCTGGGATTTTTCGAGTATGGGGATTATAAGGGTTTCAAGTGCAAGTGCTAGGGATTTTGAGAATTTCAATTATAAGTGTTGGGATTTTTCGAATATATGTGTTTTTTGAGGATTTTTTTGAGTGCGAGTGCTGGGATTCTTTTCTAGAAGGGGGGATTACCATTAGTCTTCCTGAAGAGATCAGGAGAATAGAGAGGTTACCTATAGTATCAATGAAATCTAGTGCATAGCTGAAGTTGCACGCATGTTCAAAAATGGCACTTCCAGAAGTCACTTTTCAGACTTGAGCTCAAAACCACAAGTTTGAGCTCCGCACACCTCGCCGACCATAGGGCGGCCATAGCTCGGTACCTACCTTCGAATTGCCTGACCTCTTATTTGTGCAAATTAAGGTCGTACTGCTACAGAGATATCAAAAGATACTTTTAGGGAGAGGCTTCCTTGTAGAAGCTCGAGTGGGAGTTGTGTGGTGCCGAGATTACCTATACGCGACAAATGGCAAACGACGAGTTACGACAATAATCGGGTTGAATTGGGACTTGGCTATGCTGGAGATGATGATCACACTTGAGATGTGGCAGGAGCAATAACTCGTAAATCTAAAATAAATGGCAACAAACTACCTATCCTATTTTGATATATCGCTAGCCCTTCAATTCTCACATTTGGACCAATTTCGGGGATCGTTGATCGTTGGCAAAAATACGAAATTTGGACAACATACGTTTCCAAAGTGTGTGGGAGGTACTGATACATCAAATCCATTTCTCCGCTTGTCCTCTCCCTACCCAAACTCCCCTAAAACAAAAAGTTGTCGCACATAAAAGTGAAAACATCAAAAAGTTAACTCCCTCGGGTGGGCTCGAACCACCAACCTCTCGATACCAGAATTTATCAGATATTAATCAGATGAACCTGCTAACAGTCGAACGCGCTAGCCAATTGCGCCACGAGGGATGTTCTTGCTTGTGGACAGTCTTTTAAATCAGGTTTATGTAGTCTGACTTAATGTGGGCCGGTATAGGCTCGAAAATTTTTCATGTCTCATTTTCGGAAATTTACCGCTTACTAGCGTGGTACGTGGTTGCGGGGACGGATGCGCTAGTGATTAGGTTAGCGAAGTCGCCAAGCTTAACCTTAGGGCACGTGATATCAATACTCGAGAGCAACCGTATTACGGCTATGCATTTAGAGCTACTAGCCTACAGTTACTGGCAAAGGCGAAGTTGTTTTAAGAATTCTAAGCGGCGCATAAATTTATATGGACGGATGCGTTGGGGATTAGGTTAGCGTAGACGGGTGGCTTGCGGATATAGCACGTGACGTGATACTCCAGGGGAGTGACTACGATTGAGCTCTGACAAAAATTGGCTAGTTTCCAGTTATTGGCAAAGACGAAGTTGTTTTAGAATTTTAAGATAACAATCCGGTGCAGAAATTACTAGGGATTTATGTTACCAAAGGCGGGTAGCTTGGGAACAGAGCACGTGACGTCCATACTTGAGCGACTGCCCTCGGAGTTATAGTAGAGATGATCTCGCAGAAAAGAGATACCTTACTAATAAGGTGGTTTTATTTGATTTTATCACCCTTCCCTTCACCTTAGTGAAGAACGTTCACATTCCCACATAGCAAGTTTACCCCTTCGCTCTGCCCCTTTACCCCTACCCTTCGGCGGCAACCATATATGCGCGTCACGGCTAACATCACATAGAAATGCGTAAAAACCAGTATTCATTGCTCTAAAGACACCTAAGAAGAAGGCTGGTTGTATGCATGATTTCGCCCGTGTAGAGACTTCATCCCGCGTGGACGGGACAGCATCGCGCGGTTGGGATTCTCCCATATCTCCACGAGTGGCTTGCACTCAGCCAGAGCCAGTGTAGAACGGCGTATCGCATCCCCAAGATGTCTTTTGCCGACATTCTTGGATGCAAGCTGCATACTCCAAAGCATACAAACATCTTCCAATGTATGTTATTGCTGCACTCGCACAGGCTGAGCGGAGACCTACTTGGATTCAACTGCCCAGGTAAGCTCATCATTTAACTATCATTACTATTTAACATATTATGGGCATCTCACGTTTGTCATAACTCAGGATGCGTGAATCCCAACCACATTGTCATTGATATTCTAAAAGAGCCTGGCATCGACGTTCGCCTCGACCTGCCTTGACATGGCCTGCGAGAACAAGTAGCACCCTGCCTGCTGCTTCAACACGCTGCTTTATACCGGTCTCATAACAACCTACACCAGAACGCCATTATGGGCAAACGGATGCGAGTAATGCGTTGGCCAGTCTTGCAGCAACCTAATGTTCGTGTCATTCCTTAGGCTGCTGTTGAGCCACTTCAGTTAGCAATCGATCCCATAAGTTGGCGACACGAAGAATAATAAGGAAAACCCAAAGACTCACCAAAAAGTTATCAGCCATATCTCCCTTTCACCTACTTAACCGTCTTTCTAAACCTATCCGATACGGATAGACTTGAGCCCGCCTCGCCCACACAAAACCGCGTTCCGATTTGTTCTCGCGATATGCACAAATGCGCCCTCGAATCCTACCCCGCCCTATCTAGACAGCCCAACCCCCCCAGTGAAACCCTCGCTTAATAGAGCAAAGTAATGTGCCGTCCTCCCCAATGAAGGCTTCCCATATACTCCGCGACACAAGACCAGCAAGGTGTTTCGCGGACGAGGAGGACAGGTTTCCCCTGCGTAATACATATAGACGCGGCTGCAAGCCTCGCCTGCCAGTTCCCCTTAGCTAGCAGAATGGAGTGATCGGACACCGTCTCGAGCAGTTCTACCCAGTTCTCAAGGGCCACTAGACGCTCCGAGTTTTGTTGGTAGTCTTGATGTTCCTGGTTTTCCTGCTTGTGGCCCTTTGGACAGTGACTTTGCCATTCGAGCGTCTTAGGGGCAGATGGAGCTAACAATCTCGCCTCGTAACTGCGGGATTGGTGGAGACTGGGATCGCTCAGCGTTTTTAGGATGTCTAGGTCCGCAATCCACATCCCTTGTCCATGCACTGAAATGACCGACTCCAGCACGTATATTTCTGTATCCTGCGCACCAACGCTACCAACATTAATCGGGACTATGGAGCCCGTGAACCAGAGATGCAAAGACGTGTTTTGGAAGCAGTCTTGTGGTTTCCCCTCCCATGGCTCATGGTTTATCAAGTTCCATTGTTCGATCCCAACTTGTTTGATCTTTGGTGCAACAGGGGGTACGAGCAGGGCGATCCCTGGTTTCCCAATGTTACCCATAACGTGGCGGATGTCAGACGGGTCCACGACTTCGTCGGGATCGCTCAGAAGTTCTGCAGCGATGTAAAGTGAGTTTCCGCTAGAGATAGCCATGACATTTTTGAGCTGCTCAGGAGAGAGGTTAAATACTCCTGTTTCGAGGCTGAGTATGCAGGCGAATGCTGATGTACGATCGAGGCGGGTGGACCAAAACATTTTGCCTAAGGAGGTTAGGTAGTCCAAGTTAGGCAGTTCTTTTGGTATATATGCCTTTTCGTCGCTCGATTCTACACCACCCAATGCTTCTTCAAAGAAATCCGAGCGAAAGGCGGTAGAGATGTGTCCTGTTCTCACATTGGCATTTGTTTCCTCGTCCTTAGGTAGGCGCTTCGTCTTGACTTGGGGCTTCTTGACATCATGTTGATTCCGTGCAGGATCTGAATTCCTAGAATGGAGCCATTTTGTAGTCGAAAGATGGGATTTTAGCACACGGACGTCAATAGTCGAACTTTTCTTCGTCTTATACAAGGCATCGATAGTGGCCAGTGCCTGGAGAGACTTGATATACGAGCTTCCAAGAGAACTTAGCGCGTCTTCGAAAACGGGTAGGAATCTAGTCGTGTTCATGTTGTTGCCTTTAAACAACGCAGAGAGTTGTGTAAAGTCTACCTGGCTTGGGAAATCGGGGATGTCTTGCTTCATACGGCTGTACACCGCGCATGAATCGGTAGAATCTCTGTCCCCAAACCAATACTCAAAATGGGAAACATCTCCAAACCAAGGTTCGTAGTTGCTAAGGCCTGCGCTATTGTCGATAGGCCCTATAACAAGGCGCATGTTGCTGGCCTTCTCAAAAAGCCTCGTCTTTTTCTCAAATACTGTTGTAATTGGCTCGTCAGATACCGCTTTCACTGTTTCGCCTAGATTCTCGTAGTGTGACTTCTGAGACGTAAAATCTGCAGCCAGTGCCGTGTCTTGATCGCTAGGCTGATTAACAACGTCCTTAGATGGATGCTGAAGTGTTTGTTCAGAGTATTCAGCGTCAAAATCAATATACATGCTGTGAGTGTCATAATTGTACCTGTTGTTATGCCCAACAGAATGCAGCCATCGAATGTGTCCAGCACAGCTCCTAGTATCTTCATGGAATGACCTCTTGTGAGCTAGACGAGAGCGTGGGAGGGCCGTTGCGAATTCCTCCCGTCGAGTCACATCAGATATGTACCTAATAATAACGTCTTCGCTAGAAACACGAGAACTAGCAGCAAGCTTGCGAAGCGCTCTCACTTTATTGCCCTGCCCTCGTTGGAGGTGAAGAAAGCGAGAGCTCTGTAGCAGGCCAAAGAATGGAGTAGGAGGCCTGCCTATGAAGGACGCATGCTTTATACCAAGATGCAAAAGTTGCCTATAGAAGCGACGCTCCGTTCCTGTAGAATCGAGAAAGCGTTGCGCCGAGGTTTTCAATAGCTGGAGCCAAGAGCCATAAAAAAATAAGCCATTGATTCTATCCACTTGCGCAGACTCCTGAACAGCATCGGCAAGGCTAATGATGAATGTGAGAACAGTTTCATCTGTCACATCAGGAACACCCCAACCGCCAAGTACGCAACCTAACACAGCCTGGCGAAACTCATCTAGAGATAGTCGGGAGCCTTCAGCACCGACATGCCGGGTGCATGAGACCGGATCGCCGTAGTAACGAAGGTGGGCCAGGGGCAAAGACCATTCCAGCCCCTGAACATCGTGGTCATCCTCCCGCTTCAAGCCAATAGTCAAAATGCCAGATGCTGGCACGAGCGGATCTTGTTGACGTACAATAGCTGTAGCAACATCAAGTACGTTGAGGTCTGGATAGAGGTGCCATGCAGAGAGCCCAAGCAGTAGCTCGCCCGATTGCATCTTCTGTGGAGAGCCGGAAAGGAGGAGCTCGACGCCCTCTAGCGCTTCCTTCCACGTATGGATCACGCTGTCATAGAGCTGGGGCTTCGAATTGACATGGGTCGGTATGTTTCCAATAATCAAGAGGAGTTGTTTCTGCTGGGAATCCTTCGCCGCATCAGCAACCCGTAGCCAGGCCCTGGCGCTGGCATCCCAATTAGCCAGATCCGCTCGGCTAATATCCTGCTTCGAAGCCATGAAGCTCTTCATCTCTAGTGATCCTGTCCTGTTTAAAGCCGCATCGATCTCCCGTTTGCGGCCCTCTACAATCTCAACCCATATTGATATGGCCTCTGGTCCATTCCAGATTCTGGCCAGCATGCACGCTAGGAGGTGCACGCGGATTGCCGCTTCTCCCGAGGTGGCAGCTGCCCATATGCTGCTCGCATCCACGCCGGCCTGTCCATGGAAGAATCCATGGTCAATTGTGTGCGCCTGCTTGCACTTAGATGCAATCTCTGACGCCCGCAGACCGTAGCACCTCAACAGTTCTGGAGTTTCGGGTAGAAGGGGCTCAAAGAGCGCGCCTAGCTTTCGGGCGGTAGAATGCAGCTTTCCCTCCTCGGCCTCGACTCTGCGAGACGAAGACAGGGATTGCCCGAGTTCGTGGAACTCCGCCGGTGCGGCCAATTTGACTACGGCGAAATCGAAATTGATGTTTAAGAGAGCAGCTGTCACGTCGGAATTTGCGGAAACTAGATTTGCTTGAATACGCCCAACAGACGTCATTGTACCTGCTATGTCGCTCGGAAGTGTAACGTTGAG